AAGAACCCGTTTTTGGCATACGGTGAATCACAGCAGATCGGCTGGCATTGCCAGTCTTTGTTTCTGATATATGCTTTAAACAAAAGACGACTTGTTCTCAAGCCCTTTTGTTTATTCGTGGGGGAAGAATTGCTCGTCTAAAGCTCGGCCAAGGCCACCAGTCATGAGCATCTGTGGGGCTAAAATATACAATTAGATATCCTGTCAGCAGGTTATTTTCATTAAATTTATATGGTGTAAAATTAGGATCCTTGAAATCATTAGTTACATTTGGAAACATTGTAGATAGTGAGAAGGGGCAAGAAGGACTCAGCTTTTCTGTGAGTTTCCTCAGGCATCTTACAGAACTTGTCCTCTCTACAAAACAATGTCCTTGGTGGCCTGTCAACACTGGAGGTCCAACTTGGGGCACTTTAAAGAGTTGAGGTTTTCAGAGTGGGCAGAGGTTTCATCTGTTGTCCAAAATTCATGCCTCTTTAAGACCATAGGTAATACTCTGCCGGAGTCTTCTCTGAGAGTGGGCTCTCAGTCTTGACAGAGAGGTTGCCTTGAATTACAACCCAGGCGTTGCTGCTAGTTTGGGTGGACAGAGGATACTGAGCTGCCACTGAAGAAGGGTTGTCTGGTCCACCTGGAAGAGGAGGCTAAAACAGGAGGAAGGTCGCCCTGGCAGGGAGGTCATCCTGCAGCCAGGGAAGCACCTCGGCCTTAAAGGCTTGTTTCCAAGTCCTGCCCCCACACACTGTGTCAGGCTTCCTGTGTGGTCTCAAATAACAGCTAGTCTCTGTGTGAGTCAGTTCTCGAGTTACAAAATGGGAGTAAAAGCTCCTTTGTACACCACAACAGTCTTTGTCAAGATAAAGAGGGCAATGCCTGAAGGAAACCTCAGCTGATACCTCGAAGGTGTCAGTGGTCAGGCTGACAAGGTGAGCGTGACCGGTCCCATGGCTGAGGGGAGTGCAACCTTACTGCACTTGCGCATGGGTAACTTGCCATGGCCCTCCTGCTGCCCCGAAGTTACGATCATGAAGAATAAGCAAGCACTTTCCCTGTTCTCTGGGAGAGCTCACCAGAGCGCAGTCACGGGATGTCATCTCAGAAGGCTTGCCATAGCTCCTGAGCACAACGCTGGTGTGAGCATAGCCATCTGAGTGTTATTTTACATTATGGCTGTTCTTGTTTGAGTGGGATACTTTACTCCCTCAACTGTGCAGTGATAGCATATCCTCAATTCTTGGCTCTGGATTCAGCAAGAATTCAGAAAAAGAGAAGTCTGGGAAAATGAGAACTAATATAAGAAGGTGACTAGCCTCTTTGAAATGTTTGGTGTGTGCTTACGGCCATTTCAGTGTCCCAAGAGATAAATCCCTCAATCCCTAAGCTAAGCTGATCGACATTTCAGAAATGATGAGTCAGTGATCAAAAGTCAGCTGGCATGAATGTATTACTTCTATGTGTGGAAAAATTAATGCTGGCAAAATGGACCTTTGGCTTCCAGGTGCCTGGACATCCCAGCACGCATAGTGGCAGGACAGAGTGCATTCATGTTGCTTCCTGGGGTTACACCTCACTTTCCCTTCAGTGGCCCGTTTCCAAAAGAGGACAGAGCAGCTCAGACTGGGGGTATCCATTGGTGACCACTGGGGCCTCCCTGGCAAAGTCGGTTCCCCCAACACAGAGAGGGCAGAGCTGCCCCAAACACTCCCAGGTACCTTGACCTCAGCCAGGCAGCCAAAAAGCTTTCGGGTTTGCCCGAGGTGCGCAGGTGGAGGTGATTTTGGTTGTTCCACTGGAGTAGCAGGAACACCTGAGAGTGACAGTGGCCTTCCAGATAAGACCAATATTTGGCTTTTTCTTGTTTGGGCCAAGCACTTTTCCCTGGCTGTTCAACTTCTGCTTAGACCTGAGTACATGCCTGATTGCTGGGTCCTTCTGTCATTGCAGGCGAGGAGCAAACGATGCAGGCTCGCAAGGCGGACAGTGAAATGGTGGTGCGGGAGCTCCCTCAGCCGCCATGCAACCCTACCCCGAAGCAGCTGCGCGTGCAGCAGCGGCCGCTGCCACAGCCCCAGGTGCAGCAGCAAGCACTGCCCCCACGGCCCAGGCCCCGCACTCAGCAGCGGACTCCAAACCACCCGAGAGAAAGACCTTGAACATCTGCCCTGGGAGGGGCGATGGTGTCTCTGCTCCACCATTCACTGGGAAAAGAAAGTTTCCGATAATCAGGAACCCCTCCCGCCCAGCCTTGCGTAACGCTCAGCTATGAAATGGCAGCTTTCGTTGCAGAAAATTAGAGAGATCATCAAATGGAGATGAAGAGACCCAGTGGAGGAGATTCAAGGTGATGGGCATTCATCCCTGTGGCCATTTTTCTTCAAGTGTCTCCATGTTAGGGTATGCAGCATTGAGCACTGAAACCTGTGTCTTTCTGTGGTTCACTTGTTTTTACCGCACCTTGTTGTCTTCGTGCTTTGTGGATGGATTATATCAAGAAGAAGCTAAAGCTCTAGTGAGACAACATGGGTCTAAGGATCTTACAGGGTTTTGTCACGTATCTTTCCTTCCTCCTGCCACACATTAGGACAGCCCTCTGGCTTCAGCATCAAATGCATGACCCCCTGGATCAAAAAATAGTTGTATGTAATTAAATGCTTGTCTGAAGTTGAAATAATTGGTGTCATCTAATGCAGAGAAGAAAATACTGAAAGGATATGTGAGAGCCTTGAAGCACGTGTGTGGGGAAAATGCAAGTGGGAAAGGAGTAAACTTTTAACTTTCTCTTCCGTGTTTAGAACAAGAAGCCATGGGCTTAAATTGCAGCAAAGGAGAGTTAGGGTTTTTTTGCAAGCGAAGCACTGAAATAACATTCTGGGAGAGGATCTCCAGCACTGGGGGTTTCAAAGGGCGGATGAGGCAACCATCTGTGAGGCATCCTTGTCCTGCTGAGGGTCAGGAGAACGTGCTACGTGGCCTCTCCAAGGACTGTTTCAGCTCAGTTTTCTGTGACTCCTTGCTGGCAAATAAAATGAAACTCTATTCTCATCATAGGTCTGTTTGGCTATCCAGACAATTTTTTTGTCATAGAAGAGTTCTGGTATCCATCGGCTTATGAAACAAGTGTTACAAACTGCCAAGCAGTCTGATTACTGGTGGCGTGGTCTGAATTGTCATGGCTTTTCATCGTAGGGCCTCCTGCTGATGGTGAGGGACCATGTCCCTTGATTTTGCTGGTAAGCACCTCATGTATAACCAGGCGATGACAGAGAACTGCTGAGATGTCCCTCCCAAAGGGAGAGGTTGGACTGCAATAACGGTGCCTGCATCACCCTCCATGTGCTGGACAAACACTGCTCACTCCCCTGGTCCTTGGAGATGTTCATAACTGCCTCTATGGGACAGCTGAGGAGCTGAAAGAGGATAGACCTTTTTAGGGCAATATCTGAATGTGTACACTGGCCCATCTGGTGTAAGAGGCAGTGCAGGTGGAGGAGGTGAGAACTGCGAGAGCCACAGAGCATGAGACATCCAACTAGCATGTTATTGCGTTAGGCAAAACATGTCGTACCTCTTTCAGGCTTGACTATCCTACACATGCCAGGCGAGTTAAAATGTCCATCCTTCGTTTCTCCTCAGAAATGTGACTATTTTTATCTTCTGGTACAAGGGCAGGGAAGTAACTTGTCAAGGAGAAGGAAGTCTCTGCCTCCTCCCGAGCTCAGTCACTTTGCTTGAACTCCGACGGCAGACACAGCTCTGGGAGTGTCACTTGCGGTCGCCTTAGCTCTCTGCAGCTTCTTTTAGGGCTTTCACTATTTAAAGTTGCATTTGGTAAACATTTCATGGTTTATTTTGTAACATATGCTATATCCCTGTAGTGAATGAATAAAGATGAGAGTGGGTGGAGAGGATCTTAGTTCACAGCTGTGCTGGTACTTCAGTATCTCACTTTGGTACAAAGGAGACAAGAAAAATGTTTTGGTCCCTGAGCCATGGAAGCATGGATGCAGGAGGTTTCACACCGATCCCCGGGAGGTACCGGCTGCTTCCGTCGGGCTGGCAGCTGGGGGGGCGCGCAGCTGGTGCGCTCGGGTCAGTGTGGGTTGAGCACAGCACCGTGCCTGCCTGCCTGCTGTGGCAGCATGCTCTGCCTGTCCTTCGTGGCCGGAGCTTTATAGGTGCCCTCTCCAGAGCAAAGAGCTGAGCTGGGACTCCTCTGTGGTTACAGGAGCACTGGTGCTTCCTGGGACCTGAGGAGGAGAGTGGGCTCCTCCTGGGACCCCCTGCCACTGAATAGTGCTCTCTGTGCCCCGAGCTTAACAGAGCTGCAGGATTGCTTTGGAGATGCTCCTTCCCCACCGCAGAGGCTTGATGAACTTTTGTCATACCTCTGAGAGACCCTCCTGGGCTTCCCACCAGCTGCTGCCCCAGGCCCTCCTCTGCCTGGGGCTGGTGCTGGTGGGGTGACACTTGCCACAGAACCTTGCAGGGGGCACCGGTGCGTGCATGAGGTGGTGCCGGGATGACTCTGGCCCAGCACAGAGGTGTGCTCGCTCTTCTGGCAAGGAAATGCAGCATGACGCTAAGTCATGCCCAGGATAGGAACGGGAGGCAAGAAGCTTTTCTATTGTTGGTCATAAACTGGGTCCAAACCCGCCCTCAAGACTGAGCTCGAGACCACCCTGTGAACTGTGGAAACCTCTGTTGTCTCAACTTAAGGCATGTGAGGGTTGAGCACGCCCAAAAGCTGCCCTTGGTTCCCCTTCCTGGGGAGCGGGACAGCCAGCGGGCACCCTGAGTACAGGGCAGGCCAGAGGCCGTGACAGCGGGCATGAGTAAAGTGTGGAGGTACGTATTTTAATACTGCCTTCCACCGGGCTGCTGTAACCACAGACCTTGGTGAGAGAAGCAACTCACCAAGGTCTCTTCTGAGTTACTAGACTCTTGCCCTGTTGCTTTCTAGCTAAATGTTTCTCTTTTATGTGCTACGAGGCTCAAAGCTAAGTAAAAAGAGCTGAATTTAGCCGTTAGGTGGATTTGCACCAAAACACAGTCCTCCGTCAGGCAGACAAGAAAATACTATGAGCACAGAGTCTCATCAAGGCAATACTTATTTTTGACTGATGTCTTTTTTTTTATAGTCACCACTGTTTTTGTGATGTCTCCTGTTTGTTCTGATGCGCTGCAATGGACAATATTTGTACGGTCCTGAGTTCTACTTGGTGCCTACTTGAAAAGTCAGCAATTTTTCTGAATGTGTGTCATGGAGTGTTCAAATCTCAGGTTTTTATGCTGTAGAGGATGTTTCAGTTCTGGAAAATGAGCTGATAGCGAGACCTGAAAATAACAGGAAGTGCTCAGCTCTGGTGATACTTGCTGCAACCTTTCTTGGTTCTTCTTTCGTAGACACATTTACCAGTGAGTCACACAAGATGAAGTATTTTTCCCCATTCTTCTTATGGGGGATGAGATAAGAGGGCTGATGTGCTGAGCTATGCTCTGTAAGGATGCTGGCTTGTCCTCCCCGGTTTGGGAGACACAGCTTATGCTGTCCGGGTGTTAGCAGGGATCAGTTTTGCTTGGTGATGTGCTGCGGAGCCAGCGCTGAAGGAATGGGAGGAAAGTGTAGCCCCATGATCCAAGTGGGTCTGTAGTCGTGCTGTGGTCCTGCAGCACTCGCCGGTTGTGCAGTCTGAGTAGGCACCCAAAAGAGCAATGGTTGGTTGTATAGAAGATACAAATCTTCTATCCCAGTCTCAATCTGCTTGACATCAGCAGCACTTGCTGCCCAACTTGGCCTTTCTAGTAAAGCATACAAGACCTGCTTGTATCTCAGCCGGGTGTTAGCCAGTCTAGAGGGAAGCTCTCTTGCTCCTGGCACAGGCAGTGCTGGAGCCAGTTAGATAATTTCATTTCTAAAATAAAACTTTCAGTCTGTAAAAGGTCAAGTAGGAGACCATGGCTCATTCAAATGCCTTTCTTGGAATGCTTGCCAAAATGATGCCATGGGGGAAAAGACACCGATTTTGTCCTTACTCTGCAACAAATCTTCAGGCTGTGATGCAGAGACAAACCCCAGCTGGGACTGCGTTGCCCATCAGCTCCCTTCTCCATTCTGACAGACAGGGCATCACCTCCTCAGCCATGCCAAAACCTTGCAAAAGGCTTAAGAAATGCTGGGTTTGTCTTTCAAACTGTAGTCCTCTGTGGGGTGTGCTATGGGCGATAGGCAGGAGCAGAGCTCAGCTGGGCGGGCGAGGTGCTCCACCGACGCTCCTTGCAGGTGCCAGCCGTGCAGCAAGCGGGCTGGCATGGCTGTCACCTTCTGATCCCCTCACCCTGGGCCCAGAGGGACTGAGGGGCTTGTTCATGTGCTGTAAGTGATAACCTAAGAGGTCTGGCCTCAGGCTTTCGGTTAAGATCAGTTTCTAGTAGCTATCAAGCTTGTGAAATAACCCTATCTCATGGTGTGGGAAGAAAGGTAAGAGTAAATTGAAGGAGAGCACAGTAAGAGGTCCCATGACAGTGAAGTGGCCTCCTGGCCTCCTCTCCCACCCTCATCTCGGAGGAGGGATGCCAAATCTAGCCCTCTCCTCATCCTTTCCCCCAACAAAGTGCTCCTTCCCTCCCTGCAGCTGGGAGTTGACGAAAGCGCCTTTTCCCATCCTTGCAGCCTGGCTGCGGCCTTGAGCCACGGATCAGCAGAGGCTGTGGGAGCGCTTCCCTCCCTCAGGGGTGCAGCTTTAGCCTTTACACTTGCAGAGGGTTGCCAGAGCAGCTGCTTGAGGGGCCTCTGACGCTCACCCCAAACTGAAATTCCCCTCTGCCCTGCTGCTGGAGAGGGGGAGAGCTGCAGCTCTGTGGGCAGAGGGTGAAGTCACTGTTCCAGCACAGCCGGGGCTGATTTGCCATAGCTGGGCTCCAAGCACCATCTGCCAAGAAGGAAGCCACTCCTGACATGTCTGTCCTGAAAGGCCAGGGAGGAGTTGACATCCTGACTGTGTCCCAGGTCCCCTTTGGAGGGGAGGAAGGCAGTGAAAGTAAGAAACTGAGCAAAATTTCTCACCCTTTGTGGGTTCTCCCGGCAGGGCAAAGGCAAACAACCCCAAACTGGTGAGGATGCAAACCTACAGCCTTCTCACCAGGATTTCTCCTC